GATGCCACAGTCATGATACCAGTCTCCTTAAACTTTTCTCTGAGAGAAACCCGAGAGCTTAGACGGGTCCTGGCTGCATTTTTGACCATGGGTTCAATGTATCTGCCGATGTTCAGATTGGTCACGACAGGTCCATTCCAAGTAGTGGAGACGGTTATATATGTGGCACCAAGAACTCATACGTGCGTGTATCACATGTGGGGCATTTGGGAAAAATGAAAAAATGTGAAGGGAGTTTATGGAAATGATTTTTCTAACCATAAATATATTAATATGCACTAATAAATAAATAAATTTAATATTATTGTTTTTTTTTTTTCTTGTTTTGTTGTGCACATATAGTTCTTTTAGTTATAGTGTCCTGTATTTAGGTCTGCAGGAAGAAATTTCTATTAGAAATAAGCAGAACGTTTTGTTTTTGATTTCATTTGTATTATTTGTGACTTGTTGTATTTTTCCTGTACAATAAACTATTAAATAAATAAAACAATTCCAACGTAGGTATTTGTAAATTAAAAAAATTGCACGCGAGGGACTAATTTCTGATTTTCAGTTACACAAGGAACGTGATAAGCTTCTAAACATACCAATGTAAAGGGTATTTTCGTTTCACAATCTATAAGTTTGATAAAAATCGTCTGTTGAGTTGAGGACAGGCTGGTACGGTTCAACGATCAATAATAACTATTCCACCGACAATAGAGATAAGCGTGATGCACGAAAGTTTGCAGTTATTATTATTAAATGTTTTACTGTTGCATAATTATTCACTGTAAGCAAGTTTGTTCTTGCACGCAGCTAGAACTGTTACAAAATAGTTATTTGTTATGCAAGGCAGCAAAGTTGTTGTTTGGCGTGAGTGTTTATATTGAAACCTAAGCAAGCGAAGGAAGCTAAGATTGGAAAATAGAATCCTAAGCGTAGCGAGGGTCTCAAAGCACGAAACACTCAACTATACTATAGCGAGGACAATGGTAGATGAAAGAAAAACATTTTTTTTTCTTTTTTCTTTCCGTAAAGGAAAAGGGCAAAGGTTTTACACCATACAGCCAAGTCTTGGTACATTATTCTTTTTTGGTACATGAAGTTGAATTATGTTTCTGTAAATATGGCCGCCACAAAGAGGATAGGCAATTTGAGGCGGCGTGCTTGGATTGACTCGGGATTCCTTAAAACGGGCCGATACGGGTATTTTAGTTCGATATTCGTATAATATCGCGTTTTAATCTTCGATTAAGGCACAATAGCACTATCCTATTCCACTTTAAACTAGATTTCACAAAATAATTGAAAGTCAAAATAAAAACGACACTTTTCCCTCCAATAGGTCCAGAGCGAATCTGAAAGAAAAACAGTTAAACTATAACAAACGAGCTTTTTTTTTAATAAAAGAAAAAGTTTTTCTTCGAATGCGTTCTGGATTTACACTTCATCAATTTTTTATTCTTGCTTGTACTTTTATTTTGTGTGATCAAGTGATTATTGAAATGATTTTAGTTCTTTGACGAATTAAAATCATTTAATATATCATTGTCAATTTAATGTCAACAATGATAAGAATAAAATATGCCAACGGATTTATATTACCTAAATAATGTGCGACTAATAAGTTCGAATTTCAAAAACCTTTTCCACGCTAGAGTGGAAAAAACGATTTTGCACGCAGATCTGTAATGAGAAATAAAATCTTTCCGAGCTAGTGAGGTGAAAAATATATTACGTCTGTGGCTTAACGAAAACGAGAACCACGTATTCTTCTCATCGTTACTAGTATTTTCTTGCATGGAGCCATGTCTGATAGGGATGCAAGATTTTTTGGATAGTAATGGATCGTATGCCTCTTGATCTATCTTATAAAAATCGTTTCAAAATTAATTTCGATTAAAAAAAAATATTTTGACAGCTTTTTTAGCTTCAGTCGGTTATAACTTTCATTTAGAATGCCACTAGCATAGTGAGAAAAGACGTGGCAATCGCTAGATATTGTAGAATTATTGTGCTTAGATGTTGCGAAACTGTTTTTCTAAAACATAAGGGTTCAGAAGGAGACTGTTTTGTTTAAATTATGAAAACGATGTAGACCACAGAATAATAAATACAGTAGAAGTGGTTAGGTCAACTTCTGACGCATGTCAACTATAGGTCTCGAAAGATCTGAGCTCAGACCGCCATTTTCTTCGTGCAAATTCTCTGAAATTTTCTGTGATTATCTAGTACCCAGATATGTGAAGCGTACGTTCAAAACTAATAAAAATTTAAATTGCATAAATTATGAATTATCAATTTTCCTTAGTAGGCTCCCATTCCCCTAAATTCAGTGTTATAAAAACCATAACTGGTTTGACTTAATACTGGCAAGTTCATCTCTAACCAGATACAAAATTTCTATAGACTAAAAAATTAAGCTACACTAATAATTAATCTAAAACAACAAGTGGGTGTTTCATTTAGACAACAGTTAAACCAATTAAGTACATCGAATCTCATCTATAGTCGTGTCGTGCATTCCACAACTCGTCACAACCGATCGGTCACCATTAGGGCGCGTGTATAACGTGTCGTTTTTACACACGAACAGACATGCGCAAAACAGTGCTTGTAAAAGTAGTATTACAGTGTGATTTATCCCCATCAGTCACATCACACAGACGAAAAATGTGATGCACTATTTGTTTTGCTACTTAGTAATTTTACCATCACGCACACATGACCCGTTTCGAATATTGCTGCGACCAATACGTGTAAACTAGAGAAGATAGATTTTGCGCAGTGTAAACGAAGTATTACAATTTTGTAAGTAATGCAGACATAACAGTATAGTTAGTCCACTATTAAAAGGATTTATATAACATTTCGTGCGTTATTGTGTCGGATCGGGTGATGAATGACGTTTAATTCTCCAAAGTGATGTGTGATTGTATATTACACTTTTGCGTAATATCACAATTGTAATATGACTCGCATTACTTACACATCTCTACACACGGATTGTGTACACAGCCTCGGCGCCGGATAAGATAAAAATCTTGTCTACCCCCGACGCAACGCGCTCTGCCGCTATTGCATAGGGCGCATTGTCGGTAAACGAACGTTTATGTGCGTGGACTGATTTTGCAAAGTACCACTGTCGCAATTTCATTGCAACTAATAAAATGCATGATTTATTTATAAGTTTAGTAGAAAAACGACCCGTATTGTGGGACAAAACATTAGAGATTTATAAAGATAAACGACGTACGTTTGAGGCATGGAGAGAAATATTTATTATTCTATACATATAATTTGCAATCACCGTTTTTTATTTTATTAGTAGTCAACACATTTCTTCACACAGTCGGTAGTAAAACGACAGCTACCTGGAAGTTCACTGACACGTTTACCTTACACACGTCTGCCCGAAAGCATTCGTATCGTATACATACTCATCATTTTCTTGTCTGCAACAGACACGAAATATTTTCGTGGCTAGATCCGACAAAATTCTTGTCGCGTACAAGGCCATTCTCGTCTTTTCTGTTGCAGACACGACGAATTTCTTACCATGGACACGCGCCCTTACGCCTTGCACGGGCCCTTCCCATTGTGCCATTATATTAAAAACGGTCGTACAAAAAATATGAGATACACCTAAGGATATTGTCTGAAGAATGTACTACTTTGTTACATGATAGGATATACTTTATCCGATGATATAAAATCCTGAAACAGGCTGAAATGAAGGTCTAAAACGAATAATTTAAGAATAAAGTATGTAACTTTGCATAACATATTATTATGACACCTTAATCTGCAAGTTTATAAAATAAAGGTTTCTGATTTCTGATAATTGGTTTTTCTCAGTTAAATTGCAAAAAGTGTGTAAGTAATAAATTTTTATGTCCAGGAACTCGCGAGGGTACGAGAGTTGGAGCTCGGTTGTTCAGCACCACCGATGTCGTCGGCTCCGTTGTCCTGCTCCATCGATCTGCCCACGGATACCATCGGAGACCAGGTAGGTCCAATACAAAAAAGTTCAAAAAACTACATCCCGCTGCGCCTTCTAAACCTTGCGTGAGACCCATCGATGATAGGCAATCACAATTCAACATTTTGTCAAAATTTTACCTTCTTTCACAGTCCATAGATAAAACTGTCGACAATGCATGACTATTGAAATTTTACGAAAACTGGCAACTCAGCTAATGTCATTTTACTCCGTCTTCAAAAAAGACCACAGACTACAGTATAGTCACACAGCCAACGATACAATGAATTTATTGCAAACCAAATTTCCCGATCGCATAATTTCACGAAATTCAGCCGTTAAGTGGCCACAATCATGTGATTTAACACCGCTGGATTCTTTTTTATGGGGTTATGTTAAAGACAGAGTCTATACGGAGCCAATCGAATCGACTGCAGCCTGAAAACTCAAAATTCCTGACGTGATTAACGAAATAGACCCACCATTTTGTCAAAAGGTGATTAAAAACTTTGATGAAAGAATCGACATCTGTAACTGTGGTCGAGGTGGACATTTATCAGATATCATTTTTCATTCATAATTGCCAAACCTTACTTTTTTACACAATAATAATTTGAATCATTGTCATCTAACTTTATTTACAAAACAAAGTTCTTATTGAAAAACCCCATACATATAAATTAGAACTACAAATGTCACATGGTGGACAAGGGGCCAGGAGACGAAGCGGGGCAGGGTGCTGCGGTACGTAAGTTACGTTGCGATACCGCATTGATCTTGTGGCACTCGGTGCGAAATTATCCCATTAGACTTTTACCAGTGATGCAAATGCGCGTTCGTGAAATGCGCGACTGCATCGATACAGACGCGCGACTGCATCGAATCTAAATCGAAATTAGTTATTCCCGACTTTTAAAAATATACAAAAACATATTGATAACTACGCATAAACTAAAACGCAAAATTATACTAAGTCCATGAACGGCTCTTCGTCGTTATTGCATTTCTTTTGCAGGCTGGTTTCACATCATATTTCCTTCGTATTCAAGTGCTTTTATCTATTCTTAAAGTGACTCATCCGAATTGATAAGAAATTTAAAATAAATACAAAGTTTTGCCATTTCCAGTATAATCACTCTTTATAACATACGAGTTTGGAAAGTAATTACTTTAAATTTTTATTGAATTGATATTCAATTATTTTTTGTGAAATTACTCCACTAGTTTGTTATAATTATTAATAAAAAGTTCGAACACTCAGAAAAAATTCTTTCGATCCGGCCGGATTCGAACCGACGTCTTCTAGCTTACCGTGGCAGACGCTATACCAACTAAGCCACGGAACGAACCAGCGGACCTCACGAATTTTTCTAAGTGCTTGCGTCGTATCTTTGTATTTGGTTTTTTCAACGACTTTTTAGTCGTAGCGCCATCTATAGTTAGTACCTTTACAGTTAGCAGTCCTGGCGAGAGATGTCGCTATTCACTGTATTTTAAATTTTTATTGAATAGATATTCATTTATTTTTTGTGTAAGTAATTAATTACTTACCTATTTCTGCCGCCAAGCAGTAATGTCAGCATTACTGTGTTCCGATTGTGAAGGGTAAAGGTGCTGGTAAATTACAGGCACATGGGGCTTGTCAACTTATGTCTCAGGGTAACAGGCGCAGTGGCGGTGCTGTTATGGACAGGCGTGTATGTACCATCAGGCGCACGACTTGTTCGTCCCGTCATTAGATATTATAAAGAAATAAATCGAAAATTCAACTATAAAGCCATTATCTTAAGGTCTGTTGCCTGTCGTCGCTGTAACAGTGTTTTTCTAATCTTCCTCCTGTTTTTAGGTATTCGGCCGAATAGTGAATCAGTATTCGATTTTTGACCGAATAGCAAAAAACAGACTGAATTACCAAATAGTAATCGAATATTTGTTACAACTCTAGTGCTAATGTATACCTTTGTTTTAGTATTTGGACAACATGAGGTCTCCCGAGAGCGCCGGGTCGCTTTTGTCGGTACAGTCTGCGCCACCGGAACAGTGCGAGCGTCCTGCCAGCCTCTTGCTTGAGTTTCCGTTAGCCAATGTAAGTAATATGTGTTTTCTCAAACATGCTCGGATATGTTTGCGTTATTTGCAAAAACCGAACACGGAAAGTTTGACATTTATGGATCATGCGACTTCTTCTCAGCCAAGGCCTGCAAAGTAATTACGAAAATCCATTACTGTCCTCTTCTGAAAACTTTTAAGTTTATCTACTAACAGTGAACTATGTAAACAGGCAAAAGAAAAATTCATACAACCCAGTGTTCATAATTGCGATAATTAAAAAAAGAAAATGGCGGAAACATTTAGAGTGTTTTGGTGTTCTTTTGTTATATGGTGTTTTTTGTATTTTGGCCGCGAAAACGAGTGCTAGTGACTTCTCACTATCGCTATCGCTCTTCAGCGATAATGAAAATACAGTAATAGATACACATTTAAACACACCATCAGCAGTTCAGCAGACTAGCTATTATTACTAATGTGCCTGGAATAACAATAACATGTTCTTTTAGCAATTGTCCTAATACGCTGACGTGTATTAATAATATTTTTTACTTTTTCTACTATACATTTTCCTCTTTTTACTTTTTTATTATTTCCTCACATTGTTTGAGAAAAATTCTATATATGCCTCGGCGGGAACGGAGATTGCTTGACTCGTATTAATGCAAGGCCTCGCTGGCGCTCGTTCATGTAAGTCATATTCGTCCAGCAATTCTTTACTACCCAGTCTCTGCAATAATGCACTATTGTATACTAAGTGTTAATTACAAGGCCAATAGCCACCGTTACAGATTCACTCTATAGAACGTGATCTCTGCTAATTTTAAAACATCTCAGTTGTGATATTTTAAACGTTTGGTATTCCACTATAAATATTTCAGTGTTTTTAGCAGCTAATTAATATAATACATTATAATAATAAAAATGTGATTTTAGATTGATGATTTTTTTAGGCAAGAAGTAATGTTGATAGAAAATACAGGTTTACTACAATTAAAAAACCATCATGACTTTTTTCTTTGAAATTTTTTAAAATTTTGCAGGCTTATGTTTACAGCCCACGACCATCCACGGTTTGTAGAAAGAACGAAAGAACAAAATTCAACTAAAAAAAGAAGGATGGCGATATCCCGTGTACTTTGTGACCCAGTGTTTTTGACGACGTGCATTAACGAGACCTATCAATACTTGTGATTCATGATCAAAACATCAAAAACATTGTCATGTATTTCACTTCAGGTGTTTGTTCGTAGTAGCAGAAAACGAGTTTCCAGTTTGTTCCTAAAAATAACAAAGAAGTTGCTGAATATTCCTAAATTTGCCAAACTCTGCCACATTTAATACATGTTCTGTCGCAATGAAAATGAATAAAAATTAAATCTGCCCAAATGGCAGAAATCTGCCACAAATGGTCACACTGTTCTCAATCTCAAAGCGACATTGACATTGGCAAGAGGCCTCTTGTCAAAACGTTCCTTTGCTAACTTTCGTGATCTCTCATTTAAATATTGTCTAAACATTTTTGTCACATTGTGTTTTATTTTTTTCCTTTATGTCATTATTGTTTAATTGATTATTTGACTAGGTAGTTTATAGCTTTAATGTTTTATGTGTGTACTATAAAATAACCAATACTTCAGGTAGGTAATTCAATCATGCTTAAAACGAAACATACGTACAAGGACGTTACCTAATCTATGGTCGAAGTGAATCAATTGCGTTGTGTTCTTGCATCTATTCTAAAATACATTGTTTTGCAATTTCTTTATTCCCGACTTCTAAAAATAAACAAAAATATATTTATAACTAAGCATAAACTAAAGCGTAAAATTATACTAGCAAAGTCCATGAACTTCGTTCATTTTGGGTCAGCTTTCGCCATCCTTCTTTCACGAAAACAGTGCGAATGTGGTAGCAAAGACATGGAGGCCATTTAACCGACATGCTTTACCACACAACCCAACACATAATACAAGCATCAATTTACAAAATGCAATTTTTAATTGTTAACCTGTGTTTTCCATCAAAATTACTTCTTGCGTGAACTTTTGGGACAACCTTTATAAATTCACATTGTGATATGCCACGATTTCGTTGTTTTTCTAAGTAATGTAATTTATTTTAAGCTCTTATTATGTTACTAAAACGACGTGAAAATAGCGACAGATTTGCAGGGATCGGCGATCGACCGCTGTCGAATTGTGACATCGGGATGAAAGTCCTGTCAATGACCGCTTTTGTCATGTTAAATGGCACAAGAAATTTAAATTCAAAAGGCCTTTATTCCACAGATAAACAAATTACACTACAAATTGTTATATTTTTAACGGTATTCACAGTAGCGTTGGCCTCTCTTCGAAGTGCCAAATACAATTTGCATAATTTAATTTCAAAATCCGTGCTTGAACTAAATCGAGAACGGTCGTTGACCTTGTTTAGGGTTGCCGCCGGGAAATCAAGAAACTCCAAAAACTTTCGCTTCTTGTCCCTTGTTCAGAAATTCGCACTTTTACAATGAAAGTAGCCCAATACAAAATTACAACTTTTTGGGAATACGCAAAATAAGATTTGAAGTTGTAACATTTTCATGATGTCTAATTTATTACTCTTGAACATTGAGTTACAATTTATACGGACGTCGGGTCCGCGCTAAAAAGTGCCCGAACTTATAGGACGTTAAAATCGTATACAGAGCGTCATTCACGCTTTAGTCTTCGTTTGTTCGACTGACAGCGAAGCAAGCAAAATTAGACAGTACTGCGATGACATTACAATTTAAATTCACCGTTTTAGGTTTTTCATATTCCTTTACATGTCACTACGTTTAAATAGGTTGACTTGGGACATTTTTTTCGTGGATTTTGTATTAGACCCGTCGTCTATTTATTTGTAAGTCAATGCTCTTGAAGTACTAAAGTATGTGCGTTGTTAGTCTTGAAAAAGAATGAAGAATCGGCTAATGTTTCTGATTCCAACGGTATACATAACTCAATATGACCCAAAAATGTCGCTTATCTGATTTTGCCTTTCAATCGTCGATATACAGTAGATAATACCTTATAATGGTCTGTGATAATTTTAGTATTTTTTATTTATTTATATTTATTTTTTAATTTAGTGACTATGTTCTTTGTTTTCTCTTATAATCTCTTTTTGGCTTGCTAATCAGTATAAATTATTTCATGTTGGTGGAAATTCGTAAATGGTATCGGATTACTCATATTTAAGTATACTATAATTGTATTATTTCGACCCCTCGCACGCAAAGTATCATATGTCGAAATTGCCAAGCTTACAGGGGAGCGTTTTAAAGGTTTGAATTCACTGAAATGAGCACACGTGACTTTATTTCTCGGTTTTATTCGGCAAAACTCACACAGAGTATTATAAAATTCTAGATATTGGTTAGATGAACAACCACAATCTATTTTATCATTTTACAATTTAATTTAGCATTTGTATGCTAAAGTCACGTGAATTGAAAACTTAACGCTCGCCTATAAACTTGGCAATTTTGACATACGATACTTTACGTAGGAGGAAGGAATTTGTCCGTGAATTTTCCTAAAATGTATAAATAAATAAATAATACCTCCCTACAATTTTTTTGTTATACCTATATAGTTTCTATAAGCAATTACACTAGTGTGGTTTAGCTGTATTGCGTTACGGCTACGACACATTATCACGTATATACCAGACACGCTCTTACACGTTGTTTCAAATACTAGCAAGTGGGCGCGTACCTCTCGGCCATGTCGCCCACCGAGCAAGAAGAAGATTCCCTGCTGACGTTGTCGTCGGTCACTGCCCGACCGCTGCTGGCGGCCTCGAGAAAGCTGCGCGCGCCGCCTTCGACCGCCGAGTAAGTGTTTACCCTAGGGACGACTTGCGGACTAGCGGAAATTACGTTACTAAATAATGGCTTCTCAATTACGCTCGTCCTTGACAAGAGTGAATCGCACCTTTGTAATAAAGCCATATCTGCAAAATGATGACAACAGTAGATTTGTACATTAGCAACAACTCTATTGTATATAATGTTATGTCCACAATATTAGTCGATAGAGTTACAAGAATTGTCTCCAATTCTGGATGGATGTGGGTTATATTTTTCCATCGAGTATATAACCAGAAATAGAGACGAAAAGTCATTTGATTTGTTTGAAAACCATTCAGCCATATCATTACTGTGACAACTGCGCTCCGATTGGCCACCCCGAGTTCGAAACAATTGACGGGTGTCGTCAACTGTTTCCCTTCAAGTCGACCAGTTAACTTGATTCAGATTCAGATTCAGATTCATTTATTTCTCAAATATAACATTACAGTATAAAATGCACTACATGTCAAAGTATAAGAAATTATATTGAGATCGTCGGACAAAAAGGAAAATTATGAGCTTTGCTATAATGGACGTAAATTGCAAAATTACATATTTAATATTTAATTACCGATGAAATTTCATTCCGTTTGTTTTGTAATTAGATGTTTTGCTGTTTTTCCCCACACCACCTAATGGAACAGCACGCCATTGTTAGAGATATTGTCTTTATTACAATAAATGCAGAATATTTTTGGAATGTACACACAGGTCAGTTGTTGGCGCCATCTATATTTCAGTGCAAACGAGAGTTGATATTTATAAGTGATGTATCACTGATGAGTTACCAGTAATGTATGGCCCTTATTTCGTCTCTATTTCTGGTTATATGCTCGATGTATTTTTCGTATATCTAATGGGACAATAATCGTTTTTGACGTAACTCCACTTAAGTCATTCTTCCATGACGGGTGCGATCCGTAAATTTTTCAGGTGAGCATGTTTTAAATTTTAACGACTGCTTCTGGTTAAAATTGAATTTAAAATTTAAGCTTTATCCAAACTGAATTTTAAATTGAAAATAAAAACGTAAATATTGGTCCCTTTGCAATGACGGTAAAAAGTTATATACTAAAATACCAGAACATATAAAGACCGAAAACAATATAGAAAAATTTTAACATTTATTAAAGACATTTTCCAGCAAAAACTGAAGTGGTACCCCTTTTGTTACCACGGCAGGCACTACAGAAAGTATCTTTACCTATATCTAGTGTTCTTTTCACTGTTTGTGTGAAAAGTTCGTGTTTTAATTTTTAATCAATTTTTTTTCCATAACTTTTTTGTTTTGTCGGTTTTTTTTTAATGAGGGACAAACAGTCATACATATACAAAAACAATACGTATTTTAAAATAAACTGATAAATAAACCTATAGTCCCCTAAATATACATTAAACAATACAAAAAGTACGTAAACAGACAATCTGAGTTTTTTGTTTCTAATTATTTATGTTTTACGTTGAATGTTTTAGTTATGTTTTGTTTTTCTTGTTTCGTTTTTGTTTTCTTTTGTAGTGTCGTTATGGTAAACAAATAATTGTATTTTTCTTTCTTTCTTTCTTAAAAGAATTTTTTAATATTAAAAAGCTTTTCGTTTCGTTTGATATATTTCATAATAAAAAAAGAACAACAAGAAATATTAACTAAAATATTGAATACATAAAATGTAATTATAACGACCACGATATTGTCAAGTTAATGTTTAGCTTCAGTTAGAGTTTGTTTGTAGAATTATGTATTAGATTTTTTGTTTAGAACATTTTATCAATGATTATCACATTGCGGTATCCTACCAAGGTTCATGTTGAGGTACTGAAAATGTTTAACACGTTAGTCGCCGACTAGAATTTTCAAAAATGTTCAAAATATGACATTGGCTTATATGACTGTTTATGGTCTCATTTGTATACGTATATAATTTTTTTCGCTATATTCATTATTTGGGTCTAGTTTCGGATTATATTTAGTGCCGGGCATTTTAACCAAGGCAGAGTATGTACACGTAATGTTCGATCGATGTTTACCTAAAACTGACGTACGTCTTACATTCGAGATTAACATTTCACATTACCCATTTTTTTGCTTAGTTTGTAACTTTTAAAACCAATTTGAAATTAAAGTAATTTTTTTTTTATTAGAAATATACATACTTTTTCCTGTTAGTCGAGAAAAGTATGTATGCCATCAAAAATCGTAAAAACCAAGTGGCAACAGCAGTTGGTCAAGGCAACGCCGGTCATGTTATATGGCTAAATACGTTTGCCACGTGCGGCGTGAACGAGCATCACAAATTTAGATGCGTCGTGCCATTTTAACCCCTCACGCCCCAATAGGCAGATGAGATGCCGGTCATTTTGACCCACCACGGCGATGAACGTGTTAAACGCACCACGTGTTAAACACTATATCAACCACGTGATTGCAATAAATAAACGAATTATGCATTGTAACTATTTTATAAAAAAAATACCGACCTCAAAAGTTTGTGAAATTTCATCTATTTGCGAAGTTTTATTGAAATCAATCACCGAAAAGTGCGCGAAACCGGATTCATCCCTTAGTTCTCCACCATTAGAGATAGAATGGGACCACTATTGACGTACCCTCTTTCCAACAAAAAAAGAATCATCAAAATTAGTTTACAAATGCCGGGGGTTATCGCGTAACTTACATGCAAGAAAGTACAGTCGAATGGAGAAATGCCTCCTTTTTTGGAGCCGTTTAATTATTTTAAAGCAGTCGTTAAAACGTAAAATTTGCTCCCAAGAAAAATCTACGAATGGTATTTTACTCTCTTTCTATAAAACACTGACGATATATAGAGGTATTTTTTGTCAAGGCGCAAAAAATATAATAATTTACCGAAAGTATACTAAAGGTCTGAGAAAAACGTAGCTTTTGTATGGAGCTCCTTGTGAAAGAGTTCGTCCAGGGAAGTACTGCCATCTTACCTATTTCTGCCGCCAAGCAGTAATGTCAGCATTACTATGTTCCGGTTTCGAGGGGTAAGGATGCTGGTGAAATTATAGGCACATGAGACTTGTCAATATATGCATTAGTGCGAGGGGCACAGACAGTGGCAGTGTCCCTAACATCTTTGCGGTTATAAGCTGTGAGTGGCATTGCACTTACCACCAGACGCACGACTTATAATAAAAAATAACCAGTTTTTTTTTTTGAGTTTGGGTGTAATTTGCGGTATTCTATGTATGTGTCTATGGCACCCGAAACACGGAGTTTACCTAGCGCGGGGCCATGAGTGTGTGCGTTATTTATTTATTATCATCTAGTGTTTTTGTTAACAGTTGAAAAGTATGCGCTGCGCCGAACCATTAACGGGTTACTCGGTTAACCGAAAAAACCGTCAAGTTACTGTCAATTTTAGAACCTGGTATTCAGCTAAGAAATACCCGGGTTTTTTGGGATTTTCGGTTTCATCTTAAAACGTATCGTGACTCATAATAGTTATTGACAACAAAAAAGTTACGAGTCACAAAAAAATTACAATAACGAATAATTAAATTGATTTACAAGAAATAAATTATACGATAATTAAATATATACTAAATAATAATAATAAAAATAAGCTATACAAAAACAATAATAAAAAAAAATATCATCAATTACATTACAATTATGTCAAATTACTAACAATAAATTAATAGCATCACACAATATTATACTCAGACGTGTATTGATTGATTACTCAACAAGCCACGTTTACAAGAGAAATGCGAATGAATTTCTTAATGGTGCAATTCGCACGTTATCCGGTAACTGGACCGCCGGTACCATTACAAGCATTAGTTTGGATGTTTTCGCCAGCCGCCGCGGTATAGTAACATCTAATAACGCTAACTAAATGGTAGGAACTCGGGTACCTATCTAACTACAGTGCTCCTGCACTGTAGCACAGCTTCCACAAGATGAGTGCAAGTAATCTTTTGGTAGCGAGGGGCGAGTGAGATGCGCGTGCGAGAGCTATACTTAGTTATATAGCTTGATTTTTTCCTTCCTGACCAGTGTTGCCGTTTTAGCA